ATAGAGACTGCATCAATTCACAAACCCACCACACAGTGCATGATTCCCTTTTCTCCACATGCTTGCCAACACTTGTTGTTTGTGGATGATAGCCCTTTTAGGGGTGTGAGGTGAAATGTCATTGTGGTTTTGATTTGCATTTATTTGATGATTAGTGGTGTTGAGCATATTTTCATGTCTATTGGCCATCTATATGTCTTCTTCGAAGAAATGTCTATTTAGGTCCTCTGCCCATTTTTTATTCAGATGGTTTGGGTTTTATTTAGTGTTAAGTTGTATGAGTTTCTTATATATTTTGGAGAGTAAGCTCTTATCTGACGTATCATTGGGGAATATATGCTCCCATTTAGTGAGTTGGCTTTTCATTTTGTTGATGGTTTCCCTTCACTGTGCAAAAACTTCTGTTTGGTGTAGTCCCATTTGTTTACTTTTCTTTTGTTTCCCTTGCCTGAAGAGACATGTACAAAAAATATTGCTGAGTGATGTCAAAGAATTTACTGCCTATGTTTTCTTCTAGGAGTTTATAGTTTAAGGTCTTGCACTTAAGTTTTTAATCCATTTTAGGTTTATTTTTGTATATAATATAAAATGCTATAGTTCCATTTTAGGTTTATTTTTATATGTAATATAAAAAATGCTATAGTTTCATTTTTTCATGTGTCTGTCCAGTTTTCCTAACACCATTTATTGGAGAGACTATCTTTAACCCATTGTATAGTCTTGCTCCCTTTGTCATAGATTAGTTGTCCACACAGACTGCTATCCTTTCCCTCTTCTCATAAGTGACTCATATTATTTAGTTTTTATCTCATTGGCCTAAACAAGTCACATCACTGCATCTAAATTGAATTGGGTGGAGAAATATAGTACTGCCACATCCCAGAAAGGAGAGAACCAGAAATATTTTGTAAACAGCACTAATGACTACCACACTGATTTTTATCCTCTTATTTTTCTTGTCAAAGTCAAACTTTTGATATTGGCATTTGGGGAAAAAAATCAGATTAAGGGTCTTTTTCAATGTATGATAAAATCTTCCTTATAACAAAGTTGGTAAAATGGCCTTGGTGCTGAAATTATGCCTTTTTTCCTCAGGGGAGAGGTTGGTGCAACCTACTGTGTGCTCCTGGCTGCCATAGTCTGGGGAAGATCAGAGAGCACTAGCCACCACCAAACTCTTTCTGAAACTGTCTCCTCTTAGCCCTCTGCCTAGCAGCTTCACTATCTGAAGAATCCTAGTAATATCTCTAACCTGGCTTCCATTCAAAGAGTGGCAGGATTAATTGCCTCATGACTAACATCTCTGTTTTTCTATATCACTATAAAAATTCCAAGCATACCAAACAATCCAATATCACAGAGATGTTTATCTTAATTCTGCTCAGTATGCCACCTCTTCTTCCATCCACTGTGCCATCTGCACTTCACAGGGTATGTCAGCCAACTTCCTGCCAGATGATCTACTGCCTTTTATAGATAAACTTGCTTTCCTCTTTTTGAGATATTTACTTCATATACTAGTACTCTTTTTTATTCTGAAACATCTCTCATATTTCATAGAAAAGCTAGGTAAAATCATGTAAGAAACTGCCTCATCTTCTCACCACCTGATCCACTCACTCACACTTACCTGCTTCAGTCAAATGGATTGTGTCCCCACATCAATCTAATGCCAACCTCTCTGGTGCTCTGAATCTCAATTCCTTTTTCCTTCTCAAGAACATTCTTTTTCAATTACCCATTTTTCTCTCCGATATTGACTGATCTCTCTACCAGATCATTCCAGCAAGTAAACATGCTTTTATGGTATCGGTTTCTTTCTTCCTTTCACAGAAAAACTCCATGAAAGAAATTTTTATAATTATACAGTTTTACATCTTATTCTGTACCAAACATACTTCAATCATGACTTTATCAGGCCATTAAAATGATTATTATTAAGTTGAAATGCTTACAATACTAACAGAGTGCTGATGATGAGTTGGGAAGTGTCCTAAATACTTGATACATGATAAATCACTTAATTCCCAAACCAGCCATATGAAGATTATGCTATTAACATCTCTGTTCTAGACATGAAAGACTGCTTCTCAGAGATATTGGTAATTTGCCCAAAATCACACAGCTGCTAGGAGGAGCTTAGATTTGAACCCAGCAACTTTGATTTTAACCACTACATCATATTACTTTTCTAAGGGACAATTATTTTGTTTAATTTATTGAACCTTGCAGTAACTTTTGACATAGATGATCAACCCCTTCTTCTTGAAACATTTTATTCTTTGGTTTCTATATCTTTGGGTTCTTTTTTCTCACACACCATATGTTGGTCCTTATCAGTCTTTTTTTTTTTTTCTGTTTCCCTCATTGCAAGTCTATATTTTGGACATTTTCCCCTTTGCTGGTAGCCTTTCCATGGTAATTTGGTTCAGATCTCTTGAGTGTGAATCTGGAGCCCATATTTCTTCTCTAAGCTCTATTTCATAAATGATGCTGCCTGATTTATATCTCTACTTGAGTATTTTATAAGGATCTCACATTTAACAGAGGAAAAAAGAGAACTATAGACATTCTAGCCCAACCCATCTTTTGCCAAATTCTCCTTTCCCCAAGACTTTATTTACCAACACCACCAACCTCAGGACAAATTTAGGAGTAATACTTAATTCCTTTTCCCCTCACAGCTGACATTCTACCCATTAGCAAGTCAAACCAACCCTGCACTGAACCCCTAACCTGCTACTTTCCCACAACTCTGCTGCTGTTAGTATAGTCTTAGTTCCATCCTTTATCAATTAGACTCCTGTAGTCTCTTCATAATTGGTTTCCCTCATTCCACTCTTGCTTGTTCTTTTCCCCAGTCCTTTCTCTAAAAAGCAGCCTGAAAAAATGTCTAAAGTGTTAATGAGATAATACCATTTTTACCCAAAGACTTTCCCTTGCAATGAGATTCAAGTCCCATCTCCTTACTGCGGCATACCAGACCCTACATGATCTTCCCACATTTCTGACACCTTTCCCTTGACTTCTCAGTTGTTCCGCCACACTGATCATCCTCCTGTCCTGAGAACATACCATGCTTTTGCCCATTTGGTACCTTGTCATTGCTGCTCTTTCTCTTTGGAATGCTCTTCCTTAGATCTTCATAATGGGTGCTTCCTTTTCTTCACTGGGGTCATTATTCAGGTTCCTCTTTGAGAGGTCTTCTTGAGACTCTTGCTAAAATATACATTTTCTCTGTCCTTAATTACTCTCAAAAACATACTGCAGTTCCTTCAAAGCACTTACAAATCTAATATTGTCCTATGGAATCATTAACTTAGGCATTATTATTTGTTTTCTCCAGAGGAATATGATCTCTTTGAGGACATGGTCTATGTCCCTCTTATTCACTGCTGCAACCCTAGAACTGAGAACCATGCCTGATATGTGGTATTGACTCAATTAAAATGTGAATATGTATAGTGTAGAAAGCAGTATGATGACTTGTATAACACAAAACATTAAATAAATTAAAACAAATGGAATCATCATTAGCTAAGAAAGTATGTTCCAGAAGTAGATAGAGAAGTCTTGGGGAAAGGAGAATTTAGCAAAAAATAGGTTGGGCTAGAATGTCTTTTGTTCTCTTTTTTTTCTAATGTGAGCTCTTTATAAGACACTTATGTAGAGGTATAATTCAGGAAGCATCACTTATGAAATAGAGCTTAGGAAAGAAATCTGGGTTGTAGATTTACACTTAAGAGACGAAAACCAATAGGTACAAGTCATAGACTGAACGAAATTATCATGGGGAGGCTACCACCAAAGCATGAGGAATGGAAGTCTCGCTCTTAAGTTTTTAGCTTTGGTAGGGTAGCTTTGTGACTTTGGAAATGATATTTGCTTCTTAAGAGCTCTTTTGAGAATTACGTGTCAAAGCTGTATGTCATACTTGAGCTTCTTGATCTCTCATGGAGGTATGAGGTGGATAATATGTGTGATTTCCTCTTTCTCACAAGGAAAATCTAAAGAAGTTATCTAACCTGAGTTACTGCACAATGGTTCCTCATCTCCCAGGGAAGATTAATATTATAAATGCCAAAAAATATTATAAATGCATAATGTGCTCTTTTCAATATGTTTATAACATTAAAGTAGATTTGTTTTTATAGCAATCAGTTTTAAAATTTCTGTATTTCAATAAATGTTGGATTCTAAGCTATTTTTGTTTTTAGCAGATGAAACTTTTGCTTTATCATGTCACAGTAGGATTAATATAACCTCATCATAATCTGATGTCAGGTCCCCAAATTTCACCTTCATAGCCTTACTGCAAGGTGGATGAAATGGGACCTCACAGCTTTTTGGACTGGGTTTCTAGGCGAGATATAAATCCACCCAAGTTCTGGCTGTACTTGGTGACATTTGATGGCAGTTGTCCCCGCAGGCAAAATTGGAAGGAATGATTTTTGGGTTCTGAAACTGGCTGGAACTTTTGGGACAATAATAGCAATTTCAAGAATCAGCCAATTAATTCATTTCCAGAGAAACTGTACAGATGAATAGTAAGGAGGGGGAAATCCTCCCTTCATCATTGCTCCTTGAAAATTGGTATTCTGCCTGACCTGACACTCACCCATCAGCCCCACTGTAGCATATTTGTCCAGGGGTTTACCTTACTTTAACATGTTGAACAAAAAGGTGTAAAGAGAAGCCACATACAACTAAATACATTTTTGTTGGCACTATATATTGCTCCTATATTTCAGACTGTTCTAACAGCTTATTTTAATCTAGTCACTAATTATTCCTGCTTTACCAAGCATTTACTGGCAGAAATGGTCCTGCCACATTTAGAAAAGAAATCAACTTCCATTATGGAGTCAGCATCATTGTAGGTCTAGTTTCATGCTTGGTGGGTCCCTTATAGAGCTATATTTAATGCACTGCTAATTAAAAAGAAGAAGGAAGTGTCCAAAGATTTCTTAATGTCTCATCTTTTGTTTTTGTTTGTACAGCTCACCATGTTAAAACGGGCACTTGCGAGGTGGTGGCACTCCACAGATGCTGTAATAAGAACAAGATAGAAGAACGGTCACAAACTGTCAAGTGCTCCTGCTTCCCTGGGCAGGTGGCAGGCACCACGCGAGCTGCTCCATCTTGTGTGGATGGTGCGATTTTTACATTGCTCATTGCGGTAGTGTAGCTTGGGAATGCTTAGAACTGGAACCCACTGTAATGCTATTGACGGGGCCAATTCTGAGGGACCACAGTATAGATTATGTGGTTGATATGAGGTTATTTGGAAGGCATTTTGAAATCCAAAATCCTTTGGAAGGAGGTATAAGGTCTTACCCAGTTTCATAATAAATGGCATTATAATGGGGTTCCAACAAGTTCAAGTGCTTCTTTGATGCTATGAAATCTGATTTACCAGCTGAGGATATGTGTGTGTAAATTAATTGGGAAAGAAAAGATGAAAACAGATGATTAAATAGTATGAATTTCTGAGCCCATGGATGGTTTTTAAGAATGAAAAATGAACATCATGCACATGAGAGACTATTTAGTTGTGGATAGAATTCAGATAAAATGTTGGTTGTTATAAAGATGCATCAGAATGTTCATTTCTTTAATATTTACCTAATTAGAATAGGATATTCAGCCATTTAATTGATGTTACCATAAATAATAATTTAAGTGCTCATATTAGAATGGTCTATATCTTGTGAAGTTGGCTACTACCCACAATAAAAAAGAAATTTTTTAAAAAATTGCATTAACTCTAATGCCCTCTGATTTTCAGCCTACTGTGGGAAATATAACATTTATTCTAAAATATTGACTCTAAATTGGTCAGGGGCTTATTTGCTTATCTGCTTATGTAAACCAGTTCATGAATACATACTATTAGTTTCTTTCAATTATATCAGTTTTCATTAAGCCTATATATTCCCATGGAAAATCATTCAACAGTGTGCTTATTGTGTATTGTATGTTTAAAGACTCAAAAGGGTAAGTCTCATGTAAAGTATTCTTACCACTATAAAGTAAAATTAAAATAATTATTCTACTCAGAAAATCTAGATTTAGCCTTTTGGGGGTAAAAAAAGGCAGGCAGACCCTAAAACCTAAAACACAGTCTAGCCAGTTATAGGAAAAATTGGTGGGTTTTTCTTTAAATGTGCACCCAGAGAATGAACAAACCCAACAGAAAACATTGCACCTATATTTCTATCTCCTGTAGCTTCCATAGTGGAACAGAAATGGTGGTGTCATATGCAGCCATGTCTTGAGGGAGAGGAATGTAAAGTTCTTCCTGATCGGAAAGGATGGAGCTGCTCCTCTGGGAATAAAGTGAAAACAACTCGGGTAAGTGGAGAGCCAGCTTGGGAAAGAAAAACGTCTCTGAATTAACAAAGTGTACATAGTGACATCTTGAAGCGTTGGTTGTAGAATAAGAGGGTATAGTTTTCCATAGTATGTTTTTCCACATTTTCTCCCTAATTCATTTTTCATAGCACATTTTTATTTCATTCAGAGTAACATCTCTAGATGCCATCAGCTGTTGTGTTACCTAATAAACAAATGTTGTTTGTTCCCTCATGAGATACTGACAGTAATGTGAAAACCCCCAAGGGTGTATATTAAAAATGCTGGGAAGGTGATCCCAATCCCTTATTCTGGTCATGGATAGTACTCTGAATAGATTCTCAAAAAAAAAATAAAAAAGAAAGAAAAAAAGATTTTATTTTATACTAGAGGCCTGTTGCACGGATTCGTGCACCAGTGGGGTCCCTCGGCCTGGCCTGTGGGGATCAGGTCAAAACCAGCTCTCCAACATCCCCAGAGGGGTCCTGGATTGCAAAAGGGTGCAGACCAGGCCGAGGGACCCTACTGGTGCACGATTGGGGCCAGGGAGGGATCATGGGAGGTCTCCAGGGCGTGTCTGGACCATCTCGCCCAGTCTCAATTGGCTGGACCCCAGCAGCATGCTAACTTACCAGTCAGAGCATCTGTCCCCTGATGGTCAGTGCATGTCATAGCAATTGGTCGAACAAATGGTTGGACCCTTAGCATATTAGGCTTTTATCATATAGGTATGACAATAAAATTCGCCAACTAAGATTCTTGCATTTTTATGAAAGTAATTATTTTGATCTCCCTGATTTCTGGATCAATAAATAGTTTTCTAATATAATATAAACTTTACACGGACCTGTTTAATTGATGTTATCACAAATAGTTTGTTAAGTATATTCCATGGGTCAATATGAAAAGAATACTCTTTAGACAATGATATATTTCAGCTTACAATGCTGACTTCTGGGAAATAGGAGAGAAGTGAAAAACAGTGTTATTCTTTGATCTCCTAATTAGCTCAAAGGATGTTCTGGACTGGAGATTTTAAGTATTTTCTTTGTACGTTTAGCTGTGAAAGTTCTGTCTTGTTTTACTGAGGGGAAAGTAGACAATTGATTAGAATTAAATCATTGTACACAGGGATGTTTTATAAAAAAAACAGAACATAAGCCCGGCCTATTGGCTTGGTGGTTGAGCATTGACCCATACACCAGGAGGTTGCCAGTTCAATTCCTGGTCAGAGCATATGCCTGAGTTGCAGGCTCAGTCCCCAGCAGAGGGCGTGCAGGCAGCCAATCTATGATGTTTTTCTCTCAGCAATGTTTCTATCTCTCCCTCTTTCTTCCTCTCTCTCTAAAATAAAATTTAAAAAAATTCAAAAAACAAAACAACAAAGTAACATAAAACTAGATACTGGTAATCGACAGTAACAGTTTTTAGTAAACCTGTCTGGGAGAAGTGTTGTGCACCTCCTTCTGGGGCCAAAAAAATAACTAAATCAGAGAACATCCACCTGGAATTAACAAATTAGGCACAGTGGAGAAAATTTTCAATAAGGAAGGTCAAAGGATGCCTAGAGAATGCTGCTTGACAGCCATAACCTGGGTGGAACCACCACCATGCCCCAGCAGTGAGTCGTGCAGTACCTCCTGGCACTACCTCCCAGACATCTGCAGTGACCTCCCATACCAGGCCTCCTCATCAGCCTGCCAGGACCCAGCATCCTAGGATCCGGCTCCAGGACCCACAGTGAGAGCAAGCCAGGGGGACCCCTGTGCCCAACCCCTGCCCCAGAACTGTGCTTCCAGTCTGACCTGGAGCCACCTGAGCCCTGGGACCTTCTGTCAGGGTGACCCAGAGCAACATAGTGCATGCCCCACTCTGAGCCATAGGAGAGCATGGATTGTGAGACCCAGAATAACCCATGTCTGTTTCACCCCAGGCCCCAGGAGGGGTGATCCGGAGCAACCCAGTGCATGCCTCACTCAGTGCCACAGGAGAGTTCTATGTGACCCAGAGCAACCTGTGCTCCTTCCACCCCATCCCCTGGGACAGTCCTGCCTGAGCAACCCAGTGTGCACCTCACTCTGGGCTCCAGGAGTGTGCGGACTGTGCGACCCAGAGAAACTTGCCCCCCTCCTCCTTCACACCAGGAAGGGGAGAACTGGAGCAACAAAGAACAGGCCTTACTCCAGGCCACAGGAAAGTGAGGACCCAGAGCAACCTGTGCCTACTATACCCTAAGCCCAGGGACTTGCTGCTTGGACAATTTAGAGTAACCCAGCACATGGCCTACTCTGGGCCACAGGAGAGCTCTGACTATGTGACCCAGAGCAACCAACACTGGCTCCACCCCAGCCCCTGGGATATTCCTGCCATGGCTACCAGGAGTAACCCAGCCCATGCCACATTCTGGGCCACAGGAGAACAGTGCTGGGGTGAACTGAAGCAATCTGGTATGCCCAGCCAGGGACCACAGTACCATGCTGCAAGTGCCCTGCCAGAGGTACCTAGGGCACCACCTTTCCATGGGTGCCAGGGCCACACAGAGAATTGCATGTCAGAGGGCTCTAGATTTTCACAGGGAGTTGGACACCAGAGGAGGAGTTGGACACCAGAGGAACTGATACTCTTAAGCAGACAACAGAGGGACCAGATCTGTGGGAGAAGGGGGTAAAACTTAGAGCAGAGAAAATAAAGGCATGAGACTCAAGGCAGAGCCAGCCTCTGAGCTAATGATTTCTGGACCATTGGCCTGGTAGGGTCTTCAACCTTCAACCCTAAACACGGTGCCCAGGGCCAGAAAGAGACAGCAAAAATGGGGAGACAAAGAATTGGAGTAATCTCCAGAAAAAGAACTAAATGAAATGGAGGCAAGCGATATGTCAGAAAAAGAATTCAGACTATGGATCATAAAGTTCCTAAGCCAGATGGATGAGAAAATCAACAATATATGTAAGAATCAAGAGGGCCGAAACCGGTTTGGCTCAGTGCATGGAGCGTTGGCCTGCGGACTGAAAGGTCCCAGGTTTGATTCCGGTCAAGGGCATGTGCCTGGGTTGCGGGCACATCCCCGATGGGAGATGTGCAGGAGGCAGCTGATTGATGTTTCTCTCTCATTGATGTTTCTGACTCTCTATCTCTCTCCCTTCCTCTCTGTGAAAAATCAATAAAATATATTTTTAAAAAATTTAAAAAAAAAGAATCAAGAGGAAATGATGAATGATATAGTGGCAATTAAAAAACACAATGAAAAGTTTCAACAGTAGACTAGAAGAAGCTGAGGACCTAATCAGTGAATAAAAAACACCCAATCTGAACAGCAATTGGAAAAAAAAATTAAAAAGAAGAGGAGAATTTAAGGGAGCTTTGAAACAACATGAAATGACTCAACATCCAAGTAATAGGGGTGCCAGAAGGTCAAGAAGAGGAGCAAAGAATAGAAAACCTATTTGAAGAAATAATGACAGAAAACTTTCCCGACTTGGGGAAGAAAAAGTCACACAAGCAGAGAGAGTCCCAAACAAGATGAACCCATAAAGACCCACACCAAGACACATCGTAATTACAATGGCAAACATTAATGACCAAGAAAGAATCTTAAGGGCTGCAAGAGAGAGATAGAAAGATCCCTACAAGGGATCTCTGATTAGACTATCAAATGATTTCTCAACAGAAACACATCATGCCAGGAGCGAATGGAATGAAGAATACAAAATGATGCAAAGCAAGGGACTGAATCCATGAATACTCTATCCAGCAAGGTTATCAATCATAATTGAAGGTAAAATCAGGAGCTTCACAGAAAAAATAAAAGGTTAAGGAAGTTTATTATCACCAAGCCAGCAATGCAAGAAATGCTAAAGAGACTGTGGTGAAAAGAAGAAATAGAAAGGGATGAAGTAACACAGACATAAAAAATAAAAATGGCAACAAGTACATATAAATAAAAACCTTAAACGTAAATGGGTTAAATACTCCAATCAAAAGACGTAGGGTGACTGAATGGATAAGAAAACATGAACCATATATATGCTGTCTACAAGAAAGCTACTCAGAACAATGGACTCACACAGACTGAGAGTGAAGGGATGAAGAAATAAAAAGATCAGGCAAACAAAAGTGAAAAAAAAGCAGAGATAGCAATACTTATATCTGACAAAATAGACCTCAAAGTGAAAGCCATAACAAGAGATAAGGAAGGCCACTTCATAATTTTACTAAAGGGATCCATACAACAAGAGGATATAACTTTGGTAAACATATATACACTCAATACAGGAGCACCCAAATACATTAAAAAAAAAAAAAAACTTCTGTAAGATATCAAGGGAGAGATTGACAGCAATACATTCATAGTAGGGGACTTTAATACCCCATTGACAACACTGGATAAATCTTCTAGACAAAAAAAAAAAAAAAATCAACAAAGAAACAGCAATCCTAAATGACTCACTAGATCAGATGAAATTAATTGACATCTTTAGAACATTTCACCCAAAAGCAATGGAATATACATTCTCCTAGAGTGCATCTGGGACATTTTCAAAGATAGACCACATATTTGGACACCGGCTAAATCTCTTCAAATTCAAGAAGACAGAAATCATATCAAGCATCTTTGCAGATCACAGTGGCTTAAAATTAGAAATCACCTACAATAAAAAACCCAAGATTTTATGCTCAATTAACATTTGAAAAAGGAGGCAAGAGCATACAATGGAGTCAAGATAGTCCCTTCAATAAAAGGTGTTGGGAAAATTGGACAGATACATGCAAAAGTGAAACTAGACCACCAACTTACACCATTCACAAAAATAAATTCAAAATGGATAAAGAACTTCAAGATGGGAAAACCATAAAAATCTTAGAAGAATCTATAGGCAGCAAATATCAGATGTATGTAGTATCAATATCTTTACCAATACAGCTCCTAGGACAATGGAAACTAAGGAGAAAATTAACAAATGGTACTACACCAAATAAAAAGCTTCTTCAAGCGAAAGAAA